TTGAGAATTGGTCTGACCTCAATTTCGTAACTTAGTTGTGCTTTCAGAGAGACTTCGAAGAAAAATTTGTCCGTTCTAACATCAAACGGTATTTATTCAAAGGCTCGATGCTGGAAGAAAGTATAAGAATGATGGTATAAATGCAATACGGTGTGTGTTCTAAGAAGGCGCCTTGAAAAGACTAGGGTATGAAAGCGAGGTCGTGCGGGCTCTACACCGACTCTATTCGTTATATACACAATCATACTGAACATTGCAATTCACAATAAGATGAACACACTGCTAAGCTTGAAGGTGAACCAAATGAAGAAAGAGCAGTAGATTCTGAAGGGTCAGTAAAGCCGAAATGCTAATCAAAAACAAACATTGTTTATCTTAGTATCTACAAAATTAAACAGTTAGGAAGGCATATGAATGAAAAAGTTCTTCGTCTAGCCGTAGAGACATACACATAATTCTGTAAATTTTGGATAAGAGTATAAAAAAATAACATCAGGCTAGATCATTTAATTGTAGATAAATCAGATTTATTATTAGATCCGAAAGCATGAATATTATGTGAATAAGAATTCTTCTAAATCAGCTTACGTCAAGTATATAAAGAATATCATCGAAATTGGAAATAATTATTACATCTTCATGTCAACAACAAACCAAGAGAACCAGTTTAAATCAAAATGTACGTCCTATCTACCAATTGGTCTTGAAACATAAAATCAAACAACTAACAAGAGGCAAACAAACGATAAAGGTGAGATGACTTCCAGATAAGGTATAGGCTGAAAATATAAAAATCGTCAAATGTCGACTGATAATTAGGGTATAATTTTATAATATATTCGGAGTGTAATTAATTAATCCAGTTATTTTTAGAGGAAAATTTGGAACTTCGAATATCATGTAGTAGATGCAAATAGCAGGTGGGTGTGGAGAAATCTCTTGGCTTACATTTTTTGAGCTCATTTCTATTTCCGGTGAAGTGTGCGATGAGAAAATATGAAGGTCGATTCCAGCTTAAAATGACGGCGGATTTCTCTTGGTCAGCTAAAATAGTATTAGAAGTCGTTTGACCTTGCTTTCGCAACTTTGTCATATTGGCAGGTAGACCTAGAGGAACGCACCTTGTCCGGAGTCCATAGTATGCAGGATAATTTTAAGGCTCAGACAGTGTTAGTGGTATATTCCCAGACATTTTGCCGACATCGTAATCAACAGCGTCAGTAAGCCATGCCATTTTTAGCACCAAACTACAATCCGTCTTCGACTAAAATATTATTGTTGACGCTTTTCCTGAGGCAATCTTCTAAGCTGACATCCCCATTAGGGGATATCATCCCCACAACCGACATGTAGTACGTCCATACCAAATCCATGCATTATGATGAGGTATAGAACCGTTTGATTATTACAAGACATATTTCAATCTGGAAGCATGAGTGTGAGTGTGCTTACGTGCCTTCATATGTAGGTATGCGTACCAATCCAGCAGTGATAGATCAAAGGACTTAAAACAGAATGTAACATCCTCACTCAGTTGTCAAGGCTTAATGATATTTATTCCAGCTGACCTGACCAAGATTGAGGCTGGCTTGGCAAAGCAAGCAGGTGATTCGGTCTGATCATACAGAAAATGGCATGCCTGCCTACTCTGCGACTGTAAATAGGAAGAAATAGGCGAGAAAGCAATCATCTTAAATCAGGCCAGCAAGCATCGGCAGATTCTCACTAACCGGGCCAGAGTAGAGAGGCGGCTGCAGCACTTGCCATCTCGCCGTTGGCATAAAATCTCCCCGGATGACCAGGTATAAAACGACAAAGCCCAGCTGACGGCGGCCCCACGAGCCCGGGAAGGACAGGGCCGTTGGATTCCACTTGCATATCACCACCAGGTCTGGGGAGCAAGAGGAGGCCAGGCCCAGCAGGCGAGGAAGAGGGCGAGGCTGTTGGGGCAGTGACACCGGGCACGGAGGAGGCTGGTGGTCCTGCGGCCAGGCTACTTCCTACGAATCCTGAGGCTGGCTGACATGAGGGACCCACTGGGGGACCGGACCCAGAGGCAGGTGTGGCGAGCATTCGAGCAGACGACGCCGACCGTGGACCGGCAGGTCCTGGAATAGGAGCGACGCCTGTGGTCACGCCGGAGGTCGCTAGTGGAGCCGCAACTCCGGAGAGCCCAGTGCCGGCGGTCGTTGAAGGGGAGAGTGGGTTGAGCATCAAGTTGGGTCGCTGCCCCGAGGCCGGCGGCAGCTGTCCCAGTCGCGATTGCGAGGGCGTCGAACATCCAGAGATGAGGTTGGAGGCGTTACAGAGGCCCGGGTGAGGCTGGCTGAGGGCGGCATAGGCGAGATGCTGTGGAAGCGGTTGCCCATGAGCCACATGTGCTGTGTGCAGTGGCAGAGGGAGGGGTGGGTGTGATAGCGGCCCCTGTTGTTGTGCCGGATGAATATGGTGGCTGGAGTAACGGAGCTTCGGGGTGGCCGGTTGAAATGCACAATTGGGTTGATGCAGTTGGTGCTGTTGTTGATACTGTTTCTGCTGGTGTATGAGACTGCTGGCATCCTGGGCGCTATAGCTGTGTGATAGTCGGTAGGACGGACCAGTACTCTGCTGACCGCGCGGCCCAGACAAGCCCGAATGGCCGGAAAGCCCGGGTGCTCCGGAAGCACAGCATGGCCTCGCCAGCTCGGTCAGGCTAAACTCTCCGACACGAGCAAAGTTGGTGTGTGTCGAATGGACCGAGTTGGAGGAGGCGGAAACAGAGGGAATAGCGGAAGGAGGAGAGGTGAAGACGAAGCCACTCGAGGCTTGACAGCCAGGAAGCAGTGAAGCCATGACACCTGAAACGCCACTGGCTCCTAGTGACTGGGGTAGGCCGGGCGAAGATTCAGTAGATGAAGGTAAAAATTGCTAAATAGAAACAAATTAAATAAACCTTATTAACTCAAATGAAACAAACTGGAGAGTATAACAAGTTAGTCAGAATTCGCCTAAAACCAAGGCAGCTCACATAGTTTGATTAGATGCGATCCCAATAAAATGCATGAGTTATGAACAGACGAATAACATACTCTCCTGTAATTACTAAAAAATGTGACTGTTTGCTCGTATGCCGTATGCATATACATATACTAAAAGCGTACATAAGTGAATATACATAAAATGAAGATAGTCGCACAAATACGTACACACACGTGCATAAATGCATACACGTATGAGGGTATATACAAACACGCGTATACGCATACAGATGGACATTAAAATAGACTAAACCGATCTAAGTGTTCATTCTGCTGGAGTACATGAATGATGAACCAGCTAGTCTTATTCACTCAGCAATTAATTTATGTTGGAATAAGCCTGAGTGCTAGACTTGACGAAGTCCGTTAAAAAACGGCAGATAAAAGCTCGACAAGTTTTCGTCAGAATTGAAAGACGATATCTCGAGGACTGCGTCGGATGTAAAATACTAGTAAAATCAAACTAAAAATGACCAAAGGGAATCCTCCTTTGTCTTCTAACTAAATGAGCCTACACATCTCTTCATCACACATCTTCACACTAAGTGAAATTCAGCTCGACTATACTTAAAGTATAACTATTTTTAAAGTACAAATACAGATTCTTAGATGATAAATTACGTCTGTGTGCACTAGGAAAGAATAAGAGAGGAAATCAATTGTTTGGAAGAGTGAAAAATGATCATTTTCATGGTTTAATATTTAATAACCTTAAAAATGCATTACCTTACTAAAATTAATACATACAAGTGGCTCTGACGAAAACAATCTTTCTCAAGATTGCAGGCCATAAGTACTCCATCTGCAAGCTAGCACCGATTTGCTGCCAATAAATAGTTATGGGAAATGCTTAAGAGCCTTGTTTTCGAAAAGTTGCAGGCAAAATAAAATTGTTCCAAAGGAAGTTTTTAAGTACAAGCGAATTATGCACACTTGCAAAAATTGAGTATTAACTATCATAATGGACACAGTGGTTGACGGCTAGACTAGCAGCGAAGAGTTGAATCATTAAAACACACCCTTTACAAAGGTGGGCAATAAGGGCCAAAACACATTTAAAAAAAAATAATTGTAGCAAAGAAAATATGCCCTTTGAAGCTTACAATAGGTTTCGCAGCCATACTACAAATCAAGGATTCTAAGTGAAAATAAGTTTCACAAATTGCCCTAAAAAGAATCCGCACTGCTGTAAAGTGTAGATCCTACAACTCTTCATTCGTGCTCTTAACGAGAATAAGGTATGAAGTGGTTAAATTTGGTGAATGAGGAAGATGAGGAGCCAAGTAAAAAACAAATTTTTAATGATGGCAGTTGCAAAATGCCAGGTATTTTAAAACTAAGATCTGAAGACCAGGATGGTGTGGCCTTTTGTATGGTCGTGGTCTCTTTTGGTAACATGGTCATATTGACAGGAATACCTGGAGGAACACACCTTGCCTGGAGTCCATAGTAGGTATGGTAATTTCCACGTCTTGGAATGTACCAATACTATGGTCCGATTCTGGAAATTATCATGCATATTATGGACTCTGGACAAGGTACTTTCCTCTAGGTCTTCTTGCCAATATGACAAAGTTGTGAAAACAGGGTAAAACAACTTCAATTTTACGACTAAGTTTATCTTCAGTTATATGTCCCAATCTACAAATCAATTATGCATATTCCTAATAGTCGCCAAAGATTGCTGCTTCGAACTAGAGACAGTCAATAAACAAACATTGCAAGTAATCAAAACTAACGCCATTCCCTTTCTTTTTAACTATGCAGGATGAGAGTGCTTAAAGAATGGATGGGATATGAGCTCATTTTCATGCTTTGCCATTTCGTTTAAACATCGAAATTATGAACCCGTACTGTATCCAATCGGTTGGATTTCATTTGATTGCGGTAGTGGTGAACATATAATCATCAAGGAAGCTGGCAAATGATATTCTGGAAAGTTTTGGGGAATTTCAAACTGGCTTCAATTAAAAATAAAAGAGGTGAGTTGGACACATTATTGCTAACACTATACTCGACCAAGAAGCCACAGCTAATAGAAAAACTTGTGGGAATAACGAAAATAAGGGATCAAAAAAAGTAAACGCAGACCAAACCTGTCCCATCCAACACTAATAAGATCATGCAACAATGGTCATGGGGTTTTGTAAGCAAAATTGTATGATGGAAGAAAATGGCCACATAACAAGCCATCAGGCATGTTATAACGTACTGGGTACACATGGAGATAGGCTGGCTTTGCCTCATCTCTATTATGCAAAGTACGATAAGGCAATAGCATGCCAAATGATCACTTATAGAAGACCCAATTAAATGGCAAGGCCAAAAAGGACATCAGGTTTCATAAGTAACTACTTTTTGTAAGAAGCTCCAACGTGAAGAAGGAGTCTCACAGCAGGTTTGAATCCATCATTAATGGTATTGATACTCACTTTGCCAATGCATCTAATCCAAAGGTTTGGAGACAGCGGGAAAAACTCGACAGCCTGTTGAAAAACATCGTAAATCAACCCAGCTTTTCCACATATCAAACATAGATAAATTTTGTCATGGACATAGGAGTATAGCATATTTCGATGCAAGAGTTGGTTATAACTCTGCCCAGGTGCCGACATTTCAGCTATAGACCAACTAACAAATGCTTGATTTTGAGCGCATCAAGACTGAAAGTTGTGCTTATTTTCTTAGAATCTGGACGATTAAAAAGAAAACTTGGATACGTCCACAAAATGAGATGTGGGTACAGATTGGAAACGACATTTTTTTACGAATATGCAGGTAATATACTTGACTAGTTAAAACACAGATCAAAGCAGGTATCTCATTAAGAATTTAAAAAATGCATAAACGGTTCTTTAAGACTCTTAAGTCGACCCAGTAGATAACTAGGCTTACAGTTCCGAGTTTATCATTATATTTGTGGACAGGGGAAAACAATCAGAATTCTTAGCTCATTCATATCACAAGAAATTTGCAGAGGAAGCGAAGCTGAGCTTACGTTCAATAACTCAGTAACCCTAAATCGCTTGAGGCAATTTAAAGACTGATAATAGAGTTTTTGATAATGAGATAAGTAGGCCCCATAAAGCCTATAATTTACTAAGCTATGCCTCGTAAAATCCTATCCTATCCAAATATAGACAGCAGTTTTGATCGAAGGCTAAATTAAATTTAATGGCATCGTGAGGACTTGTCGTCCCATTGTGCGAAAACTTAACTATCCGCCCATAAGACACCTAAGGTGACCAAATTCATATTCGAGAATAACTGATAATCTCACAAACTACTAACAGCTAAATTGGGCTTTTGTCTGTCATGTAGTAAAAGATGCTATAGGAGGCTTCACCAAGCCCTAAGGCAAGAGAGGTGGCCGGCTGCAATTGTACCTACTTCTTATGGCCCAAGTGTGCCCACTTAATGATGCCTCACATGATTTGATTGGTGAGTTTAAGCTTTCTATTGTGACCGATCAGTTGTCACTTCAATGCCGACACATATAATCATGTTCGTTCTTGTTTTGCATGCACACAATGCACAACAGTTTGGGAATGTAAGCTGAAACTAATCAAGCCTTCTTCTCAACGGTTCTCCCTGCTTCCTTTTTCTCTGCACTGCAGCCGTTCTCTCTCACTAAGCATATCCAACAGCTGCAAGTTGTTCCAAATAATTTTATAAATTCTTTGCTTTTATTCGGGATGTCGGACACTTTATTTTTACATATTCCCTAATCTCTATATCCTGCAGAACTATTGGATTTAGACCATATGTCTGACTTGTACCGATTTATTGAACTACATGGTTCACTTACAGTCCATAGGATATCGGGACGATGGTCCAATTATAATACTAGAGCCGGAAAATCAAACAGATTTTAACATCAAATAAAACGCACAGGCA